AGGAGCTAGGAAAATGCAAAATATGATTCCCCAGCCACCACTTGCATTGATGCTGTGATCCTTCATGTTGCATCAAGTGTCCTAGTGGAAACGGTATAAAATGGTTACTTATATAAGCCACTTTAAGCCTCCCCAGATTGGGTCTTACCAGTTCCTCCTCAACCACCTCCTTTACAGGCAACTGTCCAATTTTTTCCACCAGGCTCCGCAGCCGAGTGTCCGGGATCATCCTCTCCCGGCTGCAGGGATGGCGGCATTCGGGGCAGCGGTACCCATAGCGCGAGGTTCCACTCCAGTGGGCAGAGAGGCAGACCCTGCAAGAAATTGTGCCCACAGTCAATGGATACAGGGTCTTCAAAGGGTTCGAGGCAGATGGAGCAAGTTATGTCCTCTTTCAGGTCCTGGATCATGCCTCCTGCAGACGTCTTTGTGGGGCTTACCAGTGAGCTCAGCCTGCAAAAAGCAAACAGATAAAATACAAAGATGAACAGTGAAACTCTGGTTTCTGACAGTACCTCATTCTGCTGTGTCCACAAATAAGGCCTTGGTTAAAACCCAACTGTAATCATGTTTACGCATTTCACTCAGTTAATTGTCTGGGACGTGACCTCCCCTTACTGAATGCTCTTTCTTGGAAGAACAAAGTTGAAGAAGCCATTTGTAATGTCCTCCCAATGAATATCAGGCTTCTGCTTAGACTCTGAAGGACCCTGAATTCTGTTTTTGCCAGCTGCTGTGGAAAAGAGAGATGGGGTACATGAGCAAATCCACCTGCTCATTTCCACCTGGAAACCCTGCTGATCTTGAGGCCCATAAGTTTCCTCAGGATTGGGAAGGGGGAAGAAACACTAGCTGTGGCTTACTACCTGATTTTCAGCCTAGAGATGCCTTCTCTCAAGACACTGGAAGACCCTGAATTCTGTTTATGCAGGCTGATATGGGGAAGAGTGATGGGGTAGGTGAGTAAATCTGTCAACATTTCTCTACCTAGTAGCCCTACAGATTTTGAAACCTATGAGTTTTGTTGTGACAGAGAGTGAAAGAGAAAACACCAGTTAAGGCTTATTGCTTAGACAAGGAGCTATAAACCCCAGAACCTGTTATTAGATTGCCTCTGGGCAGGGCAGGCAGTCTGAGGAGGATGACTCATAGAAAAAGCTTCCTGGAGTTAACTCCTTATGCACACACCAAGATGGACACACCAAGGGTACAAAAATGAACTTCAGGAGACTTGAGTCCTACAGTGACACATGGGAATGCTCCCCTCTGCAAAAGAAGAAGAAGAAGAAGAAGAAGAAGAAGAAGAAGAAGAAGAAGAAGAAGAAGAAGAAGACTCCAGAGTGTTTATCTCCTTAGGAAAGTATTGTCCCTTGAACTAAAGACATCTTAGCAGCGATGTGCCCATCATAGTATTATTATACTTAGAACTCACCAATGATTCCAAAGAAGTCAAGGTGTCCCAACTCAACCCACTTTTATCCTCTCAACAATTCTGTACCATTACCCTAGGCCAGTGGTAGCAAATCTTTTGGAGATTGAGTGCCCAAACTACAACCCAAAACCTACTAATTTATCATAAAGTGCCAACACAGCAATTTAATATGGGATAATAATTAACATACCATAATAAAATGAGCTGGGGGCTGACCTGAGTTGTTGAGCTTTTTTGGGGGGGGGGCTTGGAACACAGTTGTTTTTTGGGGGGGGAGAAAAACACTCTCACACATTATAAACGCTTCCCATGGCACGCAGAGCAGAAACAACACATAGTCTCAAGGATCGCAGGCAGCAACCAGTCAACAAAAACCCTTGACAAAGTCACCAATCGCAGGAACTACAGCCTGCTGGCTGCAAAAAATCCCACCAATTGCCGGGGGTGGGAAGGCAGGGAGGCAGGAATACAGCTGCTTTGTGGAGGTAAGCTGCTGCCGGCGGGGAGGGAGTGGTTTACTCACGAGGAGGCGTGGGGGGAAGTGGCTGCCCAATTTGAAAACCCCAAACAATGGCACTGCTGGCATGATGGCACGTGCCAACAGAGAGGGCTCTGCATGCCCACTCTGGCACCTGTGCCATAGGTTCACAACCACTGCCCTAGGCAGAGAGATAGTGATTGGTCTGCTGCCCACCCATCAAAGGATGATTAGGGATTTGACTCTGGGTTTCCCCAGTCCCAGTCTGACACTCTCATTCCTATGCTACAGTGGCAGTAATAATCATGAAAGAAAGGTTGAATCAAATCTAGATATTGTGCTGTTTCTTTCAGACATCATTTCCTAAGACATGCATTTCTTTTTCTTTCCTGGTAGAGCCAGTGTGGTGTAGTGGTTAAGAGCAGTGAACTTGTAATATGATGAACTGGGTTCGCGTCTCCGCTCCTCCACATGCAGCTGCTGGGTGACCTTGGGCCAGTCACACTTCTTTGAAGTCTCTCAGCCCCACTCACCTCACAGAGTGTTTGTTGTGGGGGAGGAAGGGAAAGGAGAATGTTAGCCGCTTTGAGACTCCTTAAGGAGAGTAAAAGGTGGGATATCAAGTCCAAACTCTTCTACTTCTTCTTCTTTTCTAGTAGGGTTGGTGGGTGGGTGAGGAGAATAGCTAAACAAGAGCCAACTCACGGTTTAGTATTTGTGTTTCCCATCCTGGGGATAGGATGATGCTGGCAGCCTCCCACAGTATAACCTTCCCTGCTCCTAGAACAAGAAGATAATGTTACTGTTAGCCAGTGCCTCCTTTCCTCAGTATCCACTGGTGTAATGCAAGGAATAGAGAAACAAAGGAGCAGCAGGAGGAGGTGGTGGTAAGGGTGCATAGGAGATCACTAAAACACCTGGAGATCCCCCTCTTTCACCTCATTTGGGATGGAATAAATATTTATTTCATGATTCATTTATTACATTTCTATCCCACTTTTCCTCCAAGGAACTCAAAGTGGCGTACATACTTCTCTTCCCAGTGCTTTTGTTTTTTAAGAAGAAAAGGTGCAGATACTCACCATGAAGCTGTTACAGTAAATGTCACACTTTTAGCATGAGGGGGGGAATGCCACCCACATGTAAAAGAAAGGGAGTAAGAGACTCGGGGAAACCCAAAGGTTTGCCAGTGTAGAAGAAATAGGGGGGAAACTTAAAGGGGAGGATGAACCCCCACAAACAGCCTAATGCTAAGTAGCCATGGCATGCAGACTATTTAGAGGAAGAGGAAATGGACTGGAGTCACTAGAATTCTGAACAAAAGCACTCCATGTTGCAACATTTTGCTGCAGGTCCCACGTATAATTTATTTCCATTTACTTGCCATGTCTGACCTGCCATCATTATAATCATCTTACACCTGTAAGTCATCATGCGGCGAGTATGAAAGTGTGAACCATCAGCTAAAAACGATGGACTTACTTAGGATCCAATGGAGTCACTTCTGTGTTTGGGGATAAAGGAGGCATTTATACGGGTGCAACTTAAAGGATGGCGCCAGGGAGAGCAAAGTTCAAATCGCCACTCATCTATGAAGTGCCAATCACATCCAACCTACCTTACAAAGATGCTGTGAGGGTAAAATGGGCAGGTGGGAGAACTACGTCTGTTGTCTTGAACTCCTCGAAGGAAGAGTTTTCTTTTTTCTTTTTAAATGTCATGAAAGAAACAAACTGAATAAAATGAAGTGGAGGATGGCGGAGGCTGAAGCTGATGATATAATGTTTGTGTGTATGCTGCTCTCCCAGACTGAATAATCTACCAGTGGGCCAAAAACGTTTCAGGAAGTCTCTGCTGTACAGAAAGTGTAAGGGTGTTGCTCACAACAGGCTGGCGGTTAGAGATATCAACTCCACAAACTACCAACTTTAATCTTTTCAGTCGTAATGAAGCTCCAACTGAGGCACCTTTCCTGTAGTAGTTTTTTTTTTCTTTTTCCGTTTTTAAAATTTTATTTGCTTAATTCAAATAAACAAAAGAAAGATTCTTCACCATCCATTAATACAAAATTATAAAGCAAATCAACTAAAAGGGGAAAAACCCTAATATAATAAAATAAAGAATATCTTCTTACTTTACATATAACTTCCCATCCACTCCATTTTTCACAAATTCATTATTAACTTATTGCCAAAACTTGTCAGATTGTAATGAAGCTCCAACTGAGGCACCTTTCCTGTAGTTATCAGGCTAATCTAGACAAGCATGCCTAAACAGAGAAGCAGAAGTGAGAAAAATCTACTCCAAAGCTATTCTATGATTGTTTTTTATATTGTCATTTTATGTTGTAAACCGACCTGAGATCTACAGAAAAAGTACATACAGTGGTACCTTGGTTCTTGAACTTAATCCATTCTGGGAGTCCCAAAACCATTTGAAAACCAAACCGTAGCTTCCAATGGGCTGCAAGAGCTTCCTGCACTCAAGCAGAAGCTGTGTTGGACGTTTGGCTTCCGAAAAACATTCGCAAACCAGAACAAGCAGCAGAGAAAGCCAATTGGGCACCTGGGGCGGTGTGTGTGCCCTGGGCCCAGAGGTGGGGGCAGCCACCCACAGGGCGGGGCGAGCTGGGGCAGAAAGCTCCATGGGGCCTCCAAGGAGTCTGCCTGCCTCCTCCCACTCAGCTGCCCTGCAGCTGGACTGTTTGGAGCAGAGCAGAGCCTGCGGGCACCCAAGCAACCGCATCACTCCCAGGAGAGACACATGGCTCCATGCTGAATGCCGCCTGGCATTTTGTCACCCCCCCTCAGTCGTGACACCAGGGGTGAACCCCCACCCCCACCTCACCCCCCTTCCTCCACCCCTGACTGGAACACTTCTGGGCTTGAGGCGTTTGGGAGCCAATACGTATGAGTACCAAGGTGTTCGAGAACCAAGGTGTGACTGTACAGTGGTACCTCGGGATGTGAACGGGATCCGTTCTGGAGCCCTGTTCGCATCCTGAATGGAACGCAAGACACAACAGTGCGTCTGCGTGTGTGCGGGTCGCGTTTTGCCACTTCCACGCGTGCACGTGACGTCATTTTGACCATCTGCACATGCACGAGTGGCAAAACCCGGAAGTAACACACTCAACCTGAAGCGTATTTATCCCAAGGTATGACTGTACTACTGTAACAACAACAACAACAACAACACAGTTTTAAAGGCTATAGATTGTTTAATTATCCAAAGGCCTGGGAGAAGAGGAAAGCTTTTGCCTGGAACTTAAAGATATCTAACAAAGGGGCCAGGTGAGCCTCCCTTGGGAAAGCATTCCACAAGCAGGGAGCCACCACAGAGAAGGCACATTCTCATGTTGCAACCCTCCGGCCCACTTTTGAAGGAGGCACACTTACCCAGC